GTAATGGTGAATTAGGCATAGGCTCTTGAAAACTGTGTTCGGCCACCTTAACCAATGAGATTTTGTAGACTTTTTAAAGTAGCCAATCAAAAAGCAAGAAAAGCTATTGACAACGTTCGCGTCCACAGCCACTTTGACAATGTTATGACGCAATTTATCATCAATAAGAGGACAGACGCATAAAACCTGACGTCAATTTGTTAAAATGACGGCTTTCAAAATAATGTATCCGCTAACCAGTATCACGTGGCCATATCGCGGGCTCAGGTTAAGAATTCACTACTATGGGGGGAAGGAGGGAAGGAGGGAGTTTATGTAATGGCAAAATTTCGGCGCAAATTAAAGTGGCTTACTACAGTTTTTAAGAGACTAGTAGCGCGCTATGATTGCTTGCCATACGTCAGTATTTATCGCGGCTGCACAAATGACGTAGGCAACCCTAAGAAGAAACGAAAACCACCACAGCACTTGAATCACTTAGGTATACGTAGCAATAGTTTCAAACTCCGTTAAAACATGTGTTTAAGCCTAGGGCCAAAAAAATATGACAAAAAAATCTTGATAAACAACCGGTAAAAGAACTTTAAATTACTCTTGCTTTCTCGCATGCGATACATGGCGTCACATGAGCGTGCGCTTAAATAAAGGGCATGCGCAATTCAATTCTCGTCCAAGGTTATGAACGCCAGTCTTTGGTTCAGGATTGTTCGAAAACCTACCGCACAACCCATGATGAAATTTTCACAGTTGATTTGTAGGGGTGAATCACGTTTAGGGCCAAACTTAAAAAATCTGTAAGACATATTTTGAGCTATTTTTGATTTCCCATTTTCTTAGTTTGCGAAAAATCTGTCGTGCAGATTTTTATTTTACTTTGTATGAATGTTAAATTAGAACCAATTTCTTATTCCTGAAATTTTTAGGTAGGGTCATAAGGGTAGATTTTGAGAAAAACGTGATTTAACCTGCTAGTGTCCAGTCTCTCGTTAGGTACTCGGTCGTTCATTTTGGCCATTTGTTGACGTTTAATTGTTCAAGTTTCACATAGAATGGTAAAAGACAAACAGTAAATAGAGAAAGGAAAAACATCTTGGGACATTTTTCAAAAGAGTTAGAAGTTGGGCCGTTATAAACCATCAAAACTGTAGTAGGCCACCTTAACCCCTGGCGCGTTTTCTTCCTTGCACAATCGTCTCTTGACGTCACTGATATATTGTGTACGTAGCTTTTACTGTCCTGGGTACGCTTATTGAGTATAGTTTGTTAAAATGTAACTGGAAAAAATAGCGAAACCACACGCTAAACAGTTGTATGCTCACAATTGATCATTTTATGAGTTTCTGATCCAAGAGAAACAAATCCTCTTTTTCCTTTGCAGTTAATTATTGCAATCAGGAGCCCCGCTTATATTATCTCTGTGAGTGGTTCCAAAACGAAGTGTTTGGTCTTCAGCTAATATCACCTGGGCGTCATGTTTACTTTGTGGTAATTTTTGACGTCATCGGGCGGTCAGAGATCTCTACATGGAGTCTACAGAAGATTTCTCGTCAAAACTGTACATACTCATCCGGAATATGAATTAGAAACGATCAGAAGCACTTTTATATCTCTAGATTCTCGCTATGCTGCATTTCAAAAATTTTTATAACTTCCCCTCAAGATTTGCAAAAATAAACATGGAGGCGAGTGGGAAATTTAAAATCCTAAAATAGCAGAAGGGAAACGCCCAGCATTCAAAACAGCAAAGAATTATCGACTTTAAGTGACTGAAACAGTTTAACACAAACACCAACTTGTGATTTCGAACAAAACGTTTTTTAGCCAAGATTCACTTTAAATACGATTACTCATTTATTATATGACTGAAAAAGTTACGACCACGCGCGCGTTCGTTGGCAGTGAACTGCAGCGTACAATTATCGGTAAATAAGCC